AAACTTTGTCAGTCTGGATTCGAAAGTCCCACAGTATTTTTGCGTGTTCATTTTCCACGACCTTTGCGGGTTTATGATCCCACCAATTCTTTACTGCTGGCAGGTGGTACTTGTGACATAAGTTCCAATGAATCATCTGGGCCACAGAGTTGTGTCTTTGTTTATAGTCCGTCTGTGTGATTTTCTTGCAACGGCTGAGGATATGATCCATGGTTTCATCAGCTTCCTTGCACAATCTGCATTTTGGGTCATCCGCTATTTTTCAATCCTGGCCTTAATTGCAATGGTTCTGATGGCTTGCTCCTGGGTGGCAGGAATCAGGCCTTCTGTCTCCTTCTTTAGGGTTCCATTCATGAGCCATCACCAGGTTTTCTCCTTGTCAACTTTTCCTTCAATCTTCTCGAACTGCCCATGTAAGGCTTTGTTGTGTCAGCTATCAGCTCAGGTTTGGAGTGCAGTTTTCTTGTACTGACTCTTTGTCTGCTGTGCTTTGAGAAGTTTCCGATTATTGACTTCAATTATTATTATTATTATTATTATTATTATTATTATTATTATTAGAAACACAACAAGATAAGTCCACAGCAAACAAGGTCACTCTGCTGACCGTTGTATTGGCTCACACGTCGGACATTTCCCAAGTGTCTAGGACTGTGTGATGTATCAGCGAATAATGCGTGCAGATCCCAGTAAGGTGGCCTTTTGCAGCAGGTAATTTTGTCAGTTCCGATTGTGTTTAAGTGCAGGCCAAGGTCTTTAGGCACTGCATCCAGTATGCCGATTAACACTGGGACCGCCTTTACTGGTTTGTGCCAGAGTCTTTGCAGTTCGATCTATTATTATTATTATTATTATTATTATTATTATTATTATTATATTTAATATATTTATTCTGTTCATTTAAATATATATGTATTCTATTCATTTTGATATATATTTACACCCGTTAGGACTTCTTGGGCCTCTTTGAGAGATGCTGTTGGGAGCACCGCATGATTCAGGCAGGAACTATGCCAGGAATGCTGCCTGGAAACAACGCAGTGCAGGCATTGAAAAATGTGCCTGTGGCCAGCCTTTGACTCTTTGTATGGAGAGAAAAAGCAGGATATAAATAAACATAATAGTAATCAATTATCCCCACATTTTTGTCATCCTAGATGTGAAGCCATCCAACATTTTGGTCAACTCCAGAGGGGAGATCAAGCTGTGTGATTTCGGGGTCAGTGGGCAGCTGATCGACTCCATGGCCAACTCCTTCGTGGGGACGCGGTCCTACATGTCCGTAAGTACCGGTTATGAAACCACGACCGTCCTGTTTGTTAGTCACAATTAATCTTCAATATCTCTCAGAGACAATCGCAATTTATTTATTTATTTATTTAAAACTCCTGTTTGTAAAAATACCCCATTGACTCCAATCTAATGGTAAAGGACCTTTGCAATAGATCCGCGTCATATGGCAATCTTAGCCCTGAGCCAAAGCAAAAGGAGAAGCTACTTCAAGAGCTGCACAATGGAGCAGATAAATATAGGTCAATTATGATTTGTAATACGATTTTTGTTCCTGGGTTATCAATGTCACTTCCTAATTGGTCCTATCATCAAAACATGTGGAAAGTTTCTCAAACTCCTTGTGCTGAGGTTTTGAAGCAGAATTGGTAGGTGTGAAGTCAGACCTTGAAACTGCTAAGCCATTCAGTGATAATCAAGGTGATCAATCGCAGCATTCACACCTACCTCAAACAGACAAGAGTTCTTTCTCCCAGCCCGGACATTATTCCACAGAGATATAAACCCCACTTGCCTATTTTCCAACAGAGCTCACAACCTCTGAGGATGCCTGCCATAGATGTGGACGAAACGTCAGGAGAGAATGCTTCTGAAACATGATCACTGAAACATGGCCATACAGCCCAGAAAACTCACAGCAACCCAATAATAATAAGGGGTGTGTTTGTGTATGTGTGTGTATATATATGTGTGTATGTGTGTATGTGTGTATATGTGTGTGCGTGTGCGTGTGTGTGGCTGGTGTTATATTTTTAAAATGTCACTGTTCCAACTTACAAATAGCTTCAGCTTAAGAAGAAAGCCGCAGAAGATCTCTTGTTCATAACTTGGGGACTCCCCATATATAAGTAAATATTACCATGATCATCAGCATCATCATTACAATTGCTAGTGTGTAGAATCAAAGAAATACGATATTTTCAATGGGTTTTCCCAATCTGCTGGGCTCCCAGACCAAAATCATTATAATATAATCTATATATAAATAAAAATGTAATGTTGCATGTAATGTTCAACCAGAGAAGTCAGCCATAGCAGAGCACCTAATGAACCAGCCTGGACACAGCATATTATTTGAGAACACAGAAATGCTGGACCACACCAACAACCACCATGTCAGACTACACAGAGAAGCCATTGAAATCCACAAGCCTGTGGACAATTTCAACAGAAAGGAGGAAACCATGAAAATGAACAAAATCTGGCTATTTTGGTATTATTATTATTATTGTAAAGGAAGAAACCTTGAAAATGAACAAAATCTGGCTAACAGTATTAAAAAACTCAAAAATTACAACAGCAAAACAGCAGAGAGGAAACAACCAGGCACATCTTAACACCTCTCAACAGAACATTTTCCCAGGCTCAGCCAGGCCTTCAAATGCTAATGAAGGTGATCAGCTGAAACATTCACACCTAGCTTCAGCAGAGAGCTCTTTGCTCCACCCCAGTCATTCCACAGATATATAAACCCATTTTCCTATTTCCAACAGACCTCACTACCTCTGAGGATGCTTGCCATAGATGCAGGCGAAACGTCAGGAGAAATGCCTCTAGAACATGGCCCTATAGCCCGAAAAAAACCTACAATGTAATGTTTGTTTGTGGGATTAACATAACTCAAAAATCACTGGGCGAATTGACACCAAATTTGGACACAAGACACCTATCAGGCCAATGAGTGACCATCACTCATAAAAACACTGAAAAGCACAGCAGAAGAGACTTAAAAAGAAAAAAAAAACATTGCAATGCATGCGCAAAACCACATATATACATATATACACAAATATATACACACGCAAACACATATACACAGACTGGGCGACAGCAACACATGGCAGGGGATGGGTAGGCTATATAAATAAAAATGTAATGTTAGTTTATGGGATTAACATCACTCAAAAACCACTTGATGAATTGATACCAAATTTGGACACAATGCACATATCAGGCCAACAAGTGACCATAACTCATAAAAACACTGAAAAACATAGTGGAAAGGGCTTAAAAAGGAAAAAACAACAACATTACAATGCATGCACAAAACCATATATATATATACACACACACACACAAAACACATATACACAGACTGGGCCACTGCAATGCGTGGCAGGGGGTAGCTAGTATAATATAAATATAAATATAATTAAAATATAAAAGAATGATGGCAGTGGTATCTATAGAGCTGTCTAACTGCATCTGATGGTTCTTTGCCCTCTGCAGCCCGAGCGGCTCCAAGGGACGCACTACTCAGTGCAGTCGGACATCTGGAGCATGGGCCTCTCCCTGGTGGAGATGGCCATTGGCCGGTATCCCATCCCGCCGCCGGACGCCAAGGAGTTGCAGCTCATGTTTGGGGAGCCCGTCTGTGAGACCTCGCCGAGGCAGCGGCCCCCTGGGCGGCCCCTGAGTGGTAAGGAGCCTCCGCAGGGGAGAAGTAGGGGAGGAAAGTGCATTTGGGGGACACCAGATATGCGGGCCGACTCCGAGTTACAAACACCGGACTTACACATGACTCCTACTTAAGAATTGGAAGTGAATTTTGCAGCTCAGCCGCCTACTTAATCCCTTTTTCACCCAAACACTACACCAATCAACAAGAACAGTAAGTTCATTAAAAAAAAAAGTATCTAATATAAAAACAGTTTCAAAATACATTCCTGAGCTAGATTTCCAGAATATTAACAAAAAAGCAATGACCAACTCTAAATAGGACCTCCGAAATCACTTAAGGCAAAAGCAAAAAACTGCAATCCAAGGGTGGTTGCACTTAAACAAGAATTATATCCAAAAGCTTGAAAGCACAAACATGGCCATAATCCAAAGGCTTGATACTTGAACTTGACTATAATCCCAAAGGCTTGAAACTTGAAATAAAATTTGTAATCCTAACTGGAGGCATGGAACTTAAACAGGAAAACAAGGTCCAGACCTAAGAACGGAACTCCTAACTTGGAGCTCTCAAGACAGGCATCTTGAAAATCCAACGTTGATCTCCCCACCAAACATGGACTCCAATTACTTAAGAATACTCCCTCTTGCCCATGACATTACACTTTTTCACACCTGGATTCCCCTTGTTCATCTTTCAGTCTCTGGGAGCACCGGATTTGTCTCTGTTTCACACTATCCCATCTGATCTGTAAACGCTGGGTTATCTGTAACCCTCCTGTTTCCTCCACATTCCCTGCAGAGTCAATCCTTGGCTGATTCTCATGAGAATCACTGTCTGTTTTCCTAACAACAGATTCCCTTTGTTCATCTTTCCAAAACATTCCCGTTGACTCGAAAAACACTTTCCTTTTCCCCCACAGAAACACCAGGCTCAACCAAAAAACCCTTGTCCTCATCCTCAAAGGCTTCACAGGCTTCAACAATGAGAGGAATCTTAATTTATATTATTATTATATTATTAATGTATTTTATAATATTATTAATGTATTATATTTATTATTATTATATTTATTATTATTATTATTATTATTTTATATATATACGGGCATTCCCTGGCTTACAAACATCCGACTTACAAATAACTCCTAGTTAAGAACAGGGTTGAGACAACAGGAAGTGTGAAGAATCTTATATTTGGTTGTTGTAGGTTTTTTCGAACTATATGGCCATGTTCTAGAACAGGGGTCCTCAAACTTTTTAAACAGAGGGCCAGGTCACAATCCCTCAAACTGTTGGAGGGCCGGATTATAATTTGAAACAAACATGAATGAATTCTTATGTACACTGCACATATGTTATTTGTAGTGCAAGAAAACACTTAAAAACAATACAATAATTTAAATGAAGAACAATTTAAACAAATATAAACTTATTAATATTTCAATGAGAAGTGTGGGTCTGCTTTTGGCTGATGAGATAGGATTGCTATTGTTGTGTGTTTTCAAGTCATTTCAGACTTAGGTTGACCCTGAGCGAGGGCTGGGTAAATGAGCTTGGAGGGCTGTATCCGGCCCCCGGGCCTTAGTTTGGGGACCCTTGTTCTAGAACATGGCCATATAGCCCGAAAAAACCCACAACAACCCAGTAATTCCAGCCATGAAAGCCTTTGACAATATAATCTTATATTATGTATTATTAGTATTATTTTGGAGCTCCCAGTGGCACAGTAGGTTAAACTGCTGAGCTTCTGAACTTTCTGATCAAAAGGTCGCAGGTTTGAATCTAGGGAGTGGCGTGAGCTCCTGCTGTTGGCCCCAGCTTCTGCCAACCTAGCAGTTTGAAAACATGCAAATGTGAGTAGATCAATAGGTACCACTCCAGCGAGAAGGTAACGCCACTCCATGCAGTCATGCTGGCCGCATGACCTTGGAGGTGTCTACGGACAACGCCGGCTTTCAGCTTAGAAACTTTAGGTTCAAAATATTTATTGGAGAAAAGAAATACATTCTAGATAGAAAAGGTCTTAGAGCCAGCTAGCTTACTAAATCTCATCTTCTAAGAAGTAAAAAGGGTAAAAAGTCAAAAATATCAATGCGGTTACATTTTGCTTGGAGAGAGGCAAAATGCGTCCTCATTGGAAGGAAGAAAAGGCAGAGAGAGAGCCAACAATGCAGAATGACCACATGGCCAAACCCAGGGCAATAAAAATACCTTTAAAGAGGAAATTACCTCATCCTTCACAGAGATTCCATTATTTGCTACATCTTCAAAGGGGAGGAGATTGAGGCAAACAAGAGTAAAGACAAAGGCCCCTTCTGGGATAAGCATGCATAGGAATGTTTGGGGGGAGGGGATAGGAATCCCTCAGTCTAGTCCTATCTCTGACCAAGCTACTCATTGAGGTCTGGAGACTTGATGACACAAGAGACTTGTGCAGTCCAGGAATGAAACCCAACACTTAGGAAGGGAAATCCACTCATGAAAGAATTATTCTTGCGGGAAAGGGGATCTCCACTGATATATACACATTCTTGGCTGGAATTACACTTATAACAGTGTCCCTGTTCCAAACTTACAAACACATTCAACTTAAACACAAACCTCCAGAACCAGTCTTCTTCGTAACTTGGGAACATTCTGTATATGAATACAACTTAGGTCCCATCTCTGAGGCATTTCAATATGCAGATGCAGGGGAATTGAAAATAAAATCCCAAGCCTACCAATTTTGGGAAAGGGAAGCTCCAACATGTAATAAACCATTCATGGGATGTTCTTAAGTCACTGATTTCTAGATGCCCTTATTAGAAAACCACCACCAAGAGGCAGCTCTGGGGGTAATGCATTGTTTCTGGGGAAGTCAGTGATTGACTAAAAGGAAGTCTATACGATCATTAACTTCTACTCTCTGCTTGCTTTTTCCCAGCTTACAACTCGGACAGCCGGCCTCCGATGGCCATCTTTGAACTCCTAGACTATATCGTCAATGAGGTGAGCAAGGCAGCAGCACTCTTGTGCGGATTTGGCATTTTCACTCATATGAGCCTCACAAGCAAGAATAATGGTAGAAAGGATGGGTAGATAAATTTATGGATGTGTAGATGGACAAACAGACAGAGCAGGATCTCCATTACAAACCATATAGATGAATAGGCAGATAGATGGACAGACAGACAGGGATCGGCATTACAAGCCCTATGGATGGGTGGTTGGATTGATGGACAAATGGATGGACAAACTGACAGGGATCTCCATTACAGGCCACATAGATGAATGGTTACATGGATGGATGGATGGACAGATGGATGGATGGACAAATAGGTGGGCTGATTGATGGAAGGACAGACAGGCTGACAAACAGGGATCTGTATTACAACTCCAAAGATGGATGAACAAATAGGTGGGCAGATGGACCGACTGACTATTATTATTAGAAACCAGATAAATAGATGGATGGATGGATGGATGGATGAATAGGTGGGCAGATGGACAGACAGACAGGGATCGGCATTACAAGCCCTATGGATGGATGGTTGGATCGATCGACAAACTGACAGGCATCTCCATTATAGGGCATATAGATGAATAGTTAAACGGATGGATGGTCAGAGAAAAAGGCATGCTGATTGATGGATGGACAGATAGGGATCTGCATTACAGCCCCAAAGATGGATGGACAAATAGGTGGATGGATGGACAGACAGACAATGATTATTAGAAACCAGATAAATAGATTGATTGATGAATGGATGGATAGATAGATCAATAGGTGGGGAGATGGACAGACAGACAGGAATCTCCATTGCAAGCCACATAGATGAATGGTTAAATTAATGGATGGACGGATGGATGGACAACTAGGCGGGAGGATTGACAGATTGACAGACACACAATGATCTACATTACAAGCCAGATAGATAGATGGATGTAAAGACAGATGGACAGACATTCAGGGAATCTGTATTACAAGCTGGATGGACAGACGAATAGTCAGGCGGATGGACAGACAGGCTGGGATCTCCATTACAAGCCCTATGGATGGGTGAATGATGGATGGATGGGTGAATGATGGATGGATGGGTGAATGATGGATGGGTGGACGGACAGACAGACGGATGGACAGACAAGGATCTCCATTACATGCCACTTAGTTGGATGAACTACTAGGTGGGCAAATGGGCAGACAAACAGGGCTCTCCATTACAAGCCCTGTGCATAGACAGACAGACAGACAGACAGACAGATAGATAGGCAGGCAGATGGGCCATATGGATGGATGGCAGACGAATAGGCAGAAGGATGGACAGACAAACAAGGATTTCCATTACAAGCCAGATGGATGGAGATGGAGAGAGAGAGAGAGAGAAAGAGAAATGGCCCCTCTTCTTCCACCTCCATTGCTCCGGCTGGTGCTTGAGATTTTGAATTTTGAGGTGTCCCTTTCCTCTCCAGGACAATCACGAGGAGCCGAGGCTGGCTCCAGACAGCCTAGCAGCTGTTGCCGCCACAGGCGCCGCCGCAAGACATGGGGGAGCTCTCTTGTGTGCGGGTACCCCCCACCCCTGCATGCATGTGCTGTGACATCTTCTCCTCTTTTACGATTTATAAGTAGAACTGCGCTTAAGATCATATTTATAATATTTATATTATTAGTAGTAGTAGTAATAGTGATGGATGGATGGATGGATGGATGGATGGATGGATGGATGGATGGATGGATGGATGGATGGATGGATGGATGGATGGATGGATAGATAGATAGATAGATAGATAGATAGATAGATAGATAGATAGATAGATAGATAGATAGATAGATAGGCTAACGGATGAATAAACAGGCGGATGTACAGGCAGAGAGACAGGGATCTCCATTACAAGCCAGATGGATGGATGGATGGATGGATGGATAAACAGACAGACCGACATATAGGCAGGTGGGTAGAGGAAAGGAAATTGAAGAGGGATGGAAGTGCTTTAATTGCATGGTACGGAAGAGACCTGGGAGCCAGATTCCCGGATTGAAAACAGGGCCGAAACTGTCCCTCTGGCGAGTCCCCGTCACCTCCGAAGCTCCTTTCCCATAAGGAGACTAGGAAGACCCTCGAGTGGCCCTTTCCCATTGGGATTGGGCTCTAAGGGACATGAGAGCTGTTCTTGGGATCGAAGCGGGTTCCCATCTCTATCTTTTGCTTTATCCTTTGCAGCCACCTCCGAAGCTTCCCACTGGAGTCTTCAGCCCAGACTTCCAGGACTTTGTGAACAAGTGGTGAGTCCAGCCCTTAAGCAGCTTGTTTCCCCTAAAAAAGAGGGATGTTTGCCTTCTTTGAAAGGATGCACTTGCATGAGCAGAGGAGGAAAGAACTGGAAAGGTTTGGTTTCGTTCTTTGCAGTGGCAAGGGTGCGAATGGCGGCTATGGTGAGGGCTGGGTAAATGACATTGGCGGGCTGTATCTGTCCCACGGGCCGTAGCCTGAGGTGTAAGGCAATCTCAAGGCCCTGATTTCTCCTGTTTGCTCTGAATAAGATCATTGAGCTTTGCAATGTGAATAGGACTCTTCTTCCCTCCTTGTTTTCACACAGCTTGATCAAGAATCCTGCAGAAAGAGCTGACCTCAAGCAGTTGATGGTGAGTCGGAAACTTTTACTTTTTCTCTTGACGGTAAGAACTATTAAAGAGTGGATCAGACTGGATTGGTCTTCTTTAGAGGTCTTTAAACACATTCGGTGGCTGTCTCTTGCAAGTGGAGTATTGAGTCTTTTCTACTGAGGTGTAAAAGCAATAAATGTGTTAACGTTTCCTTGGAGTCCGAACCTTCTGCGATTCCTTTTGCTACATCTGCAGTTAATGCATTAATATACATAGTGGTTTGTTGGCACAGTGTCTTTCTTCTTACCTCTGCTAATGGATTGCAATTTGTGAGTTTAGCCCAATTCAGCTGTTTCCATTTCCAACCTTTCTCCTTTTTTGGTAATTGTTCAAGAACTGCTACAGTGAGATCCCCCATATCCACAGGGGGTCTATTCCAAGAGCCACAAGTAATAGCAAGATCTATATTCTGATGTTATCTTGGGTCAGAAGCATACTATAGAATAGAACTGGAAGACTTAGAGAGGCCCACAAACATTACTGAGTGGAAGGATATTTTTGAGAGAAAGGGTGAGTGAAACCATGGGTATTGAGTCCAGGGGATCAGACTGTACTTGAAAGTCAGGGATTATACACATAGGAAAGTTGAAACATCCTCAATATAGTGACTGTGGCGCAGCTGGCTGGGAGTCAGCTGCATTAAGATCACTACTGACGGAAAGGACATGAGTTCAAAGCCAGCCTGGGTGGGAGTGAGCTTCCAACCAATTTGTGCAGCTTGTTGTCGACCGTTACAGCCCAAAAGACAGTTACATCTGTCAAGTAGTAAATTTAGATACCACTTATGTGGGGAGGCTAATTTAATTTATGAGGCCATAAAATCTCCAGCAAGCATGCAAAGAATGAGGAAGTACTTCATCAGTGTCACAAATGGACAGTGAAGCGATAGCTCCCCTGGTGGCCAGAATACCCTCAGGAAAAAAACTGGATTGTTAAATAGCCTCTGAGTGTCTGTCTATATATGTTGTGTGTCTATGGCATTGAATGTTTGCCATGTATATGTACATTGTAATCCGCCTTGAGTTGGGCAGAATATAAACACTGTAAATAAATAAATAAATAGGCGACACTTTGCTTGGAAACAGTCCATGTGAAAGGGATCTAGGGGTCTTAGTAGACCACAAGCTGCACATGAGCCAACATTGTGATGCAGCAGTAAATAAATCCAACACGATTCTAGTCTGCATCAGTTGGAGTCTAGTGTCCAGATCGAGGGAAGTCATAGTCCGACTCTCTTATACTTTTGCTCAGGCCTTACCTGGAATCATAACCCTTTGTCCAGCTATTCAAGAAGATTGAAAGAATGGAAGGAGTCCAGAGGTCAGGAAATTATGAATCCCTCTCAAAAGCAGCCAAGTGAGCTGCAGATGTTTAGATTGGGGAAAAGGTTAAAAGCAAGGAAGACTGGCCAAGTGTGGGCATACTCAATATGCCCAAATGTGAACACTAGTGGAATTTTGGGAAAATAGACCTTGACATTTGGGAGTTGTAGTTGGTGGGATTTATAGTTCAACTACAATCAAAGAGCATTCTGAACCCCACAATAGAACTGGGCCAAACTTCCCACACAGAACCCCCATGCCTTGAAGGGACTCGCTGGTATGAGTCTCCCTCCAACCTCACATGCTCTTCCCTCGCCCGCGCACCATGCGCCAAGCACACCTGCTCTCCCCTCCCCGCTTGGAGTCTCAGAAACAGCCCTCCCCTTGACTGAGAGGCCGGCCAATCACAACAGAGGAGGGCTTTTGGTGGGAGGATTCACCGTCTGGTTCCAAAAAGAGAGAAGGATAGGCGAAGAGATTTTCAGCCTTCTCTGCCAAAGGGGTTCCTAAGACCATCACAAATATGTTTTCTGGTGGTCTTTGGCGACCCCTCTGAAACCCCCTGGTTGAGAAACGTTGGTTTAAGGAATGACACAGTTTAGTGAGGCTGGCTTAAGAATTTTGTAAACAAAACTTTTTCATCATGACTATTCTAGCAATCAGACTTTTTTGTGGCTGTGCTGTAAATATTGTAAATAAAGCATAAGTGCTAGTTCTGCGAGAACTGAAACCAGGCTGAATGTGCTTTATTTAAGCTAGTGTCCGAAAGCAGGTGCTTTTTTGGATCAAGGGGGAAAGCCAAGAGGTGAGGTTTTACAACATCTGGTGTTTGGTTTTACAACCCCCTTCATTGCTGTCACGAGTGGCCACAGAAAACCACTTACTCTATCTAAGAAACAAGGGGCGAAGCGGGCTCTCCAATGTTGTTTTCTGAATTCCAAGAACAGATCCTAAAAGACTGTTAGAAATATTAAAAAATAACTATGTGGGTCAAGCACTGGAAGGGTTAAATGGATGCAATGACTCACCAAAAGCAGCAGTTCTACCTTTATATAAGCAGGTGTGCTTGAAACTTAGTAGCCGTCAGTCTGAGGTAAACCTCAGTGGGAGAAAGGTTTCCGACTGTGAGGTATGCCTCACAATTTGAGTGGGCCTAAGTCTATGAGAAGGCAGAGTATCAGGAAGGCCTGATGTGAGAAGCCCCAGGTTTATTTAGTTATTTATTTCACATATTTATATTCCGCCCTTCTCCCCACAAGGGGTACTCAGAGCGGCCTCACATGGATGCTAACAGCATAAATACCATAAAATTACAATTCACAATAAAATCATTTTAAAACATTATACAACATCATCCATAAAATTTAACAATAAATTAATAGATTAACGTGCCAGTAAAACCAAGCCGAGCCGGGAAAATCCCTATCGCAAAATCCAAATTTCCTTTTCCTATTGCCGCTGGCCTCTAATCGAACGCCTGGCCCCAGAGCCAGGTCTTCAGTTGTCTTCTAAAGGACAGGAGGGAGGTGGCCAACCTGATATCCTTAGGGAGAGAGGTCCATAGACGGGGGGCCACTGCCGAGAAGGCCCTGTCTCTCGTCCCCACCAACCGCGTTTGCGAGAGTGGTGGAATCGAGAGCAGGGCCTCTCCTGATGATCTTAAGCTTTGTGATGGTTCATAGCAGATACGTTCGAACAGGTAATCTGGGCCAGAACCATTCAGGACTTTAAAGGTTAAAACCAGCACTGAAGGCCTCATGTGTAAAGCCTTATGTGTAAAGCTCCAGTATAAAGGCTGCTGTGTGTAAAAAGCTACTGGGTGAAGCTCCAGTATAAGTTTGTCGTGAGAGGAGGTTCTGTGAGAGAGAAGCTGTTTTTTTGCATGAGGAAGAAGCCCAGCATGGAAGCAAAGAAGGAAGTATAAAGGACTTTGTGTTGTGGAAACCTTGTTTGGGCTACTGGTGCTGGGTCATGCTGCTGCTAATAAGTTATTCTGCTGTACATTTATGAGGAGGGTCTTTTGTTAATAAGCTCACTCGCTTTGCTGACGAATGTCCTTCTCCTTACTTCCCACCAGGTCCACGCGTTCATCAAGCACTCCGAGGCGGACGAGGTGGACTTTGCGGGATGGCTGTGCGCCACTATCGGCCTCAACCAGCCCAGTACCCCAACCCACGTTGGCGGCGGCGTCTGACTCTCGAATTGGGGTGAATTGAGGATCTTCAATTCCAAGGGGAGCTCAATGGAGTGCTCCTTCCTCCTCCTCCTCCTCCAAGATGGAAACCCACCGGGGTGGTCGCTTGGTGGATTGCCACCTGCCACCACTGCCTCCTCCTCCTATAGCCATTTCAACCAACACAATCTTGGCCCCATCTTCTCAGAGCTTTTCTCCGCTTGGCGGGCAACGATGTGTATTTCCACCACAAAATATTGCCCTACTTCACATGTGCCAAATTATTTCCTCCCTGTGTCGCCTCTTCCTTCCTTCCTTTTTTCCCCAAGGGTCCTTAATTAATATGTTTCTAATTGACAACTTGTTTGCCAACTGACCAAACACGCGATGCTTCAAAGCGAACAAGAGCATCCTTTCCAAATGCGAAGTGCGTCCTCATCTCCACCTCAATTGTTGTCGACCGCTTTTCTTTTCTTGTAACTTGATGGTCCTTTCTCAGTCTTGCCTATCCAAGTCTCTCAGGTTAAATCATTAGGGAAGGCCGCTCCCAAAGAAGTTTGAGCATGATCTGCTCCAAAGCTGAGATCGAAGTAACTCTCCTGACTTTTGCATAAAGACTTCTAAATTGGTATGGGACGGGTCAAGATCTTCAACCACAGATGATACTCCTATTTATTCATAAAGTCTCTTGTTGAAAAGGTGGGGACGACACTGCCCGACTCCCTGATTGTTTTGTATTCTAAGGACAGGCGGCGATAAGACTAATGCTCTCAGCCAAAAGAAGGAAATGCACTGAAATCCTCCTCCTCCTCCTCCAAAGACCAGCCAACTTTTGCTTACGAAGAAAAACTGCATAGACGTTTGTGTTTGGAAAATCCTTTTTAATCATTTCATTCTGTCAGATGTTCCGCAGTTCAATCCTACACTAATAAATAGATCATGGTGTTACTCAGGGAAGGTGGTTTCTTTCAGGCATTAATGCTGTTAATTAAAACAAGACTCGAGGCCTTTTAAGATGGAAATTGGGCACATTCCCTATTAGAGAATCCTCCCATCACTTATCTGGCTTTTCCTGCGAGAAACTAGAGAACTGATGGGTTGTTCTAAGTTTTTCAGGCTGTCTGGCCAAGTTCCAGAAGCATTCTCTCCTGACATTTCCCCTGCATCTATGGCAAGCATCCTCAGAGGTTGTGAGGTGTGTTGGAAACGAGAAAAATGGGGTTTATATATCTGTGGAATGTCCAGGGTGCCCAGACTCTTGTCTGTTTGATGTAGGTGTGAATGTTGCAATTGTCCACCTTGATTAGCATTGATTAGCCTTGCAGTTTTTTTCTGGCTACCAGTATTAAGAAACTCTAAAATCATAACTGTAAATAAAGAATAACACTCAAAAACAGGGAAGTTCCTGACCATGAAACAATCAGGGTCAGCTAACACCTCCCAACAAAGGATTCCCCCAGGCAGGAATCAGCCAGGCTTTGAAGTTGCAAAGCCATTCAATGCTAACCAAACATTCCCACTTGCCTCCAACAGACAAGAGTACTTTCTCCCACCCTGGACATTATTCCACAGATATATCAGCCCCACTTGCCTAGTTTCCAACAGACCTCACAACCTCTGAGGATGCCTGCCATAGATGCAGGCGAAACATCAGGAGAGAATGCTTCTGGAACATGGTCATATAGCCTGAAAACTTATAACAACCCAGTGATTCCGGCCACGAAAGCCTTCGATAATAGAGAGAACTGATGTTCATCTAAACTCGAAGCTTGTTTGTTTTCTCATTCTAACCCCAACTTGGCAAAATGACACACTCCCATCCTCCCCTTGTAAACATGGCCACCGGATGAGCCTGGGAGCTGTAATTCCCCTCCAAATAATGTGGGTTTCTTCTTTGCTCCAGCATTATTGGATCCCAATACTGATCATTCCCAATTTGACTTGGTCCTGATCAATAATCAATTAGAGGAAGATGGGGAGGGAAACAAATACAGCCAGAATGGGGAAAAGAAAGGAAACAGGAATATAATTGGGCTCACTTCTGCATCATTATTGCAGCAAAGATGCCATTCCTGCACATGTGGTCAAACCAGAGCCGTTCAGACGTTGTTTAGCCTCAAATTCCCAGCTTTCTTTGCCAATTGCTAGGGAGGGCAACCATATTTGGAGAACTGCTTTGCCAAGACTTGCTCTAGGATTAGAGAGAGTGTAAGGAGGAATGCTCCAAACTGGAAACGACTGGGGCAAGTCACCATTACAACTTGACTTCCATTCTGACCCCTTTTTCCCGGGACCAAAAGGTAAAGGGACCTAGCATCATCTGACAACAGCTGGAAAGCCAGTCTTTCCACATAACACTGTAAAAAAAGAAAATCCAGATTTCCCCTAAGTGTTTAAAGGTTCCACACAATGGGAGAAACAATACCTAGAATCGAGGCATCTCCCCGCTTCCGGAGTGGTTCCATGAGCGGCCCAAGGGCTACATGCAAAGGGCCCCAAACCACTTTTGGGTTGATCTACTTGGGCTGGAGGCATTTCAATGTGGGCTTTGAGACCCTATAGATATATATATTTTAGCAGCAGCGGATGCTTCGAGGCTCAGTTATTGCTGTGAGAGCGGTGCGTGTGGCATCTCCCAAATGCTACTCGGCTCAAAATGAGTGTTGCGTGTGTTTTGGAAAAGGAAATTGTGCTACATTGGCATTGCTGCGTCCATGGCGCAAGCCCCCCGGCTCAGATCCACGGTTTTGTGGCCACCTCCGGAAGCCTCACTGAAACCAAGTGCTGCTTCCTCTTTGCAGCAAAGGTTGGGGGACAATGTTTCTCCTTGAACGGTGGGCAGGGAGTTTCCTGAGAAAAGAGGCTGTGTGTCCCGCTTTAGGAATCCGATTCTTCTTCCTCCTCCTCCTCTTCCTCCTCTTCACTGACACACATCTGGAGCTGGAGTTTAGTCTGGTTGATCGCTTCTTCGTTGTCCATCTGTCAAGGGGCACAAAGCATCTGGTTACTGCAAGCCAGCAAACACAAGAGCCTCCTTGTAAATAAGGATTGCAAGGCATGCAGGGATACCTTCAGTACATGAATAACAACTTCGAATCAAAGAACCATAAAGTTGGAAGAGACCCCAGGGGTCATCCAGTCTAACCCCCTCTATTCTGCCATGCAGTAAAACCACAATCAAAGCACCCCCCCCACAAATGGCCATCCAGCTTCTGCAATAATAATAATAATAATAACAACAACAACCACAACAACAACAAACCCAGGGGCCATCCAATCCAACCCCTTTCTGCCATGCACAAAAAGCACAATCAAAGCACCCCTGACAGATGACCATCCAGTCTCTGTAATAATGATGATAATAATAATAGGAGCAAGCCCAGGGGTCATCCTGTCCAACCCCCTTTATTCTGCCGTGCAGAAAAAGCGCAATCAAAGCACCCCAACAGATGGCTATCCATCCTCTGTAACAGTAGTAGTAGTAGTAGTAATAGCAAACCCAGGGGCCATCCAGCCTCTGTAATAATAATAGTAGTAGTAGTAGTAGCAATAGGAGCAAACCCAGGAGCCATCCTGTCTAATCCCCTTTATTCTGCCGTGCAGGAAAAACACAATCAAAGTACCCCTGACAGATGACCATCCAGTCTCTGTAATAATAATGATAATAATAATAGGAACAAGCCCATGGGCCATCCTGTCCAACCTCCTTTATTCTGCCGTGCAGGAAAAGCACAATCAAAGCACCCCCAACAGATGGCCATCCAGCCTCTGTAATAATAGTAGTAGTAGTAGTAGAAGTAGTAATAGGAGCAAACCCAGGGACCATTGAGTCCAATCCCCTTTATTCTGCCATGCAGGAAAAGCACCCCCAACAGATGGCCATCCAGCCTCTGTTATAATAGTAGTAGTAGTAGTAGTAGTAGTAGTAATAATAATAATAATAATAAATATCAAACCCAGAGGCCATCTAGTTCAACCTCTTTCTGCTGTGCAGGAAAAGCACAATCAAAATGCGTCTGACAGATGGCCATCCAGCTTGTGTTTCAAAGCCTCCAAGGAAGGAGCTTCCCCTGGACTCTGAGGCAGAGAGTTCCACTGTTGAACAGCTTCCCTTACGGTCAGGAAGTTCTTCTTAATGTTCAGGTGGGATCTCCTTTCCTGACACTTGAATCCATGGCTCCATTGAGTCCTAGTCTCCAGGGTAGCAGAAAACAAGCCTGCACTCCTTTCCTTAGGACACCATTCCAAATATGTAAACATGGCTCCCCTCATCTCTCCTGGAGGCTGAACACACCCAGCTCTTTAAGACGTTGCTCATAGGGATTATCCATGGTCTCCAAACCTTTCATCCTTTTTCGTTGTCCTCCTCTAGACATCCCCCAGCTTTGAGTCAATATTTATATTGACTCAAACAATATTTGTTTTATATCTTGCCCTCTCTCCCTCATTGATATCTCTTTTGAACTGTGGTGCCCAGAATTGGACATAGTATTCCAGGTAAAGAGGCCTGATCAAAGCAGAATAGAGAGGTACCATTACTTCCCTTGATCTAGACTGGGCATGGGCAAACTTGGGCCCTCCAAGTGTTTTGGACTCCAACTCCCACAATTTCTAAGAACCTCAGGACCCTTCCTTTTCACCCTCAGCTGCTTAAGTGGAAAAGATAAGGAAAAGGAGGGCGCCAGAGGATGTTAGGAATTGTGGGAGTTGAAGTCCAAAATACCTGGAGGGCTGAAGTTTTCCCATGCCTGATCTAGACACTAGACCCCTTTGGATGCAGCCCAAAATCTCACTGGCTTTTTTAGCTGCTTCATCACTGTTGGCCCCATCTTTGCAGATGGCAACAACACTAACAGTATGCCAGCTACACTAAACACACTGGTCCCATATCTTCAGCAAGTCCAAAATAGTAGTAATAATAATAATAATAATAATAATAATTATTATTATTATTATTATTATTATTATTACTACTATTCCCCATGTGCATGTGTCATTAATAAGAAGCTGTCCTTGAAGAGCACCAGGCTGCAGAAGATTACTCTGTAGAATTGCTAGGTTTGCTTTCATTGAATAACACTATGGAATGCAATGTTTGTTCCTGGGTTATAAACCTCCAGAGAAGAAGACTCCAAGGCAATATATTCCACTGCCAAACGGCTCTTAATATCAGGAAGTTCTTTCTAATGTTTAGCTGGAATCTTTCTTTCCTGCCATTTGAATCCATGGCTCAGTTGTGTCCTTGCCTCCAGAGAAGCAGAAACAGATGCTTGCCCCCTCCTCAATGGGAAAATCCTTTCAGATCTCTAAACATGGCTCTCTTCCTTGAGCCAAAGCTTCTCCAAGCTCTCCGCCCTGTCCATCATTCAAGGTTGGATCTGAAAGGTAACAACAGGAGCAACCAGCCCTGCATAATGCCATAGCTTACGTTTTGTTCCTCCTCCATTTCGGCAGCGGATGAGACCGGCACCGTCCCCTCGTTTTCCTTGATCATGGATTGCAGCGCCAGCTCTTCCACCTGGAAAGGAATCGCAGCCATTATTAGTTCTGAATCCCTACCTTCTTGTAAAGCAACATAGTCTCTAAATTCGCTTCCAAACACGAAACAACTACACTATTGTTGTTCATTCGTTCAGTCGTCTCCGACTCTTCGTGACCTCATGGACCAGCCCACGCCAGAGCTCCCTGTCGGCCGTTACCACCCCCAGTTCCCTCAAAGTCAGTCCAGTCACTTCAAGGATGCCATCCATCCATCTTGCCCTTGGTCGGCCCCTCTTCCTTTTGCCTTCCACTTTCCCCAGCATAATTGTCTTCTCTAGGCTTTCCTGTCTCCTCATGATGTGGCCAAAGTACTTCAACTTTGTCTCTAGTATCCTTCCCTCCAGTGAGCAGTCGGGCTTTATTTCCTGAAGTATGGACTGGTTGGATCTTCTCGCAGTCCAAGGCACTCTCAGAACTTTCTTCCAACACCACAGCTCAAAAGCATCGATCTTCCTTCGCTCAGCCTTCCCTAAGGTCCAGCTCTCACATCCGTAGGTGACTACAGGGAATACCATGGCTTTGACTAGGCGGATCTTTGTTGCCAGTGTGATGTCTCTACTCTTAACTAGTTTATCGAGATTGGACATTGCTCTCCTCCCAAGAAGGTAAGCGTCTTCTGATTTCCTGGCCACAGTCTGCATCTGCAGTAATCTTTGCACCTAGAAATACAAAGTCTGTCACGGCCTCCACGGTTTCTCCCTCTATTGTCCAGTTGTCAATCATTCTTGTTGCCATAATCTTGGTTTTTTTGACGTTTAGCTGCAACCCGGCTTTTGCGCTTTCTTCTTTCACCTTGATTAGAAGGCTCCTCAGCTCCTCCTCGCTTTCGGCCATCAGAGTGGTGTCATCTGCATATCTGAGGTTGTTAATGTTTCTTCCAGCAATTTTCACCCCAGCTTTGCATTCATCCAGCCCCGCACATCGCATTATGTGTTCTGCATACAAGTTAAAAAGGTTGGGTGAGAGGATGCAGCCTTGCCGTACGCCTTTCCCAATCTTGAACCAGTCTGTTGTTCCGTGGTCAGTTCTGACTGTTGCTACTTGGTCCTTGTACAGATTCCTCAGGAGAGAGACAAGGTGGCTTGGATGCCCATCCCACCAAGAACTTGCCACAATTTATTATGATCCACACAGTCAAAGGCTTTAGAATTGTCAATGAAGCAGAAGTAGATGTTTTTCTGAAACTCCCTGCCTTTCTCCATTATCCAGCGGATATTGGCAATTTGGTCTCTCGTTCCTCTGCCTTTTCTAAATCCAGCTTGAACATCTGGCAACTCTCGCTCCATGTATTGCTGGAGTCTTCCTTGCAGGATCTTGAGCATTACCTTACTGGCATGAGAAATAAGGGCCACTGTACGGAAGTTTGAGCAGTCTTTCGCATTTCCCTTTTTTGGTATGGGGATATAAGTTGATTTTTTTCCAGTCTGATGGCCATTCTATATGTAACAAAATTTGAAAAACGTTCTGTTCCTGGTTTGAAAGTGTTATTCTGGACTATATAGCCCCTTAGTTTTGCTTTTGCAGGGTCTTATGAGGATTGTCACGAAGAGTCGGAGATGACTAAACGAATGAACAACAACATGAGGATTGTAGTCCAGAACACCTCAAAGGTAAGCATGATATTGCTTACCCTTACCAGCCAATTGCTGCACTTTCTGCTCAGCAACAGCACCACCACCAACAAATGGCCACAACATGCTTAGAATAAGGTTCCTGCCTAGTTTTCTTCACTGTAATTCATAAAATGGAGTAAAGTCAAAGGAGTAAACAAGATGGTACTTAACTGTTGCAACAAGAAAAGAAGTTTGAAGAAGAGTGAAAATGGAACAGCAAAGACAACAAAATATATAAATTACACCCAAGATTCATAACTACATCAAAAGAAGAACCTGTTCTGCTTTCTGTTTAATAAAAAAAAACCCACAGAGAAATATTTCCTTTGTAAGAGGTACATTAAAAAAAAAAAGGGGGGGGGGTGCTGGTTAGAGATTTCTGAAATGAACACCTTGTGAGATCTAGAAACCAGAATGGGTAATGTATCTATCTATCTACCCATCCAAAAAATCAAAGTATGTTTGGAATTATTTGGTGCTAGGTGACATGTGTATGAGCGTCAGGGAAAAAAAGAAAGAAAAAGAAGAGAAAGGAAGGAAGGGGGTATGGTTTTTGAGAGAAATGAAGGAAGCTATGAAAAAAAGAAAAAGGGGGGCGGGGAGAAAAAGAGAGAGAGAGAGAAAGAAAGGAAGGAAGGTAGGTAGGTAGGTGCATTGGGAAGGGAAAGCAATAGAAGAAGGTGTATAAGGGAAACGAAGGAAAGTTAGAAAAAGAAGGGGGGGAAAGAAAGAGTGAGAGAAAGAAAGAAAGTAGGAAGATGTGTGTGGAAAAGCAAGAGGAAAAGATGATTTATAAAGGAAACGGAGAAAAAGAAGGGAAAGGGAGCTAGGGAGAGGGAACGAAAAGAAACAGACAAGTTTATGAGTGGAAGCAAGGGAAGAAGGGGGTATGTGAGGGGAAAAAAGGAAAGAAAGAAAAAGAAGATAGAGAGAAAGAAGGGAAAGAAAAAGAAAAAGAGGAAAGGTATATGAGTGAAAGCAAGGGAAGAAGAAAGTATATGAGGGAAATGAAGGAAGGAAAGAAAGAAAAAGAAGAGAGAGAGAAAAGGGGAAGGAAAAGAAAAAGGAAGGAAGGAAGGTGTATGAGAGAAAGCAAGGGAAGAAGGAGGTAGGTAAGGTAAAGGTAGTCCCCTGACATTAAGTCCAGTCATGTCTGACTCTGGGGTGTGGTGCTCATCTCCATTTCTAAGCCGAAGAGCCAGCGTTGTCCGTAGACACCTCCAAGGTCATGTGGCCGGCATGACTGCATGGAGCGTGGTTACCTTCCCGCCAGAGCGGTACCTATTGATCTACTCACATTTGCATGTTTTCGAACTGCTAGGTTGGCAGAAGCTAGGGCTGACAGAGGAAGCTCACGCCGCTCCCCGGAATCGAACCTGCGACCTTTCGATCAACAAGCTCAGCAGCTCAGTGCTTTAACCCACTGCGCCACCGGGGGCTCCAAGAAGGAGGTAGATGAGGGAAATGAAGGAAAAAAAGAGAAAGAAGGGAGAGGGGAAAAGGGAAAGAAAGAAAGAAAGAAAGAAAGAAAGAAAGAAAGAAAGAAAGAAAGAAAGAAAGAAATGGAGAGCGGGAGGGAGGACAGACGGACGGACGGACGGACGGACGGACGGACGGAAGGAAGGAAGGAAGGAAGGAAGGAAGGAAGGAAGGGGAAGATGTGTGTAGAAAAGCAAGGGAAGAAGATATATGAAAGAAACGAAGGAAGGAATGAGAAAGAAGGGAGAGGGAAATAAGAAAGAAAGGAAGAAAGGTGTATGTGAGAAAGCAAGGGAAGAAGATGTATGAAGGAAGTGAGGAAAAGATGGAAAGGAGAGGGAAAGAAAAGGGAGGGAAGGAGAGAGGGAGGGAGGGACAGATGTGTATATGAGTGAAGATAAGGGATGAAGGTGTATGAGGGAAAGGAAAGAAGAGCCATAAGGAAAATGCAAGCCCAGACAACATTGAGTATCTCTGCTAGAAACACAAGCCAACTTCAGTGTTTCCAAAGCCCACTTGCAGGCGCATGGAGTCTCCAAAGGCCCAAACCACATCTGACCCACCTTGACATCACACCAAGCAATGCGCTGCACATGCAGCAAGCTTCAGGCCTAATCCCTTCCGGAAAGCACATTCCCTGGTGGCAGCCTATTTATGTATAATGTTGCTGCCCTCTGTGTGTGTGTGTGTATGCCTTCCTCTTCCGCCATTCCTCAGGCCACAGTCTTAACCCTTTTGTGGCATTCAAACAATGCAAACATGAGGTTTGGTGGCAAGATCCTTTGTCAAGGTCTTTTTATAGCTACAGAGGGGAAAAATGAGCCATAGGCACAAACAAAGATGGGTTAATGAACCTGCAACTTTTTCTTTCCCAGTTAGAAATGCAAACCCCAACTGTAAAGATTTCATTTGAGCTAAAGACTTAGACAAGCCCATTTGTGTATTTATATGTTATTCTTCCTATCCTCCTAATTAGATGCCAACTGCCAAGAGCAAGACCGCTGGATGATGATCATACATTATTATTATCCATTATGATTATTATAACACATAATATTTATTTATTTATTTACGATATTTCTACCCCACCTTTCTCGAACTCGAAGGTGACTCAAGGTGGCTTTACAGCATAGGCAGCTATTTGATGCCATTAAAACAATGTGAAAATTACAATAAACAATTATAAAATACATACTGTATATACTCGAGTATAAGCCTAGTTTTTCAGCCCTTTTTTTAGGCTGAAAAAGCCCGCTTATATTCGAGTCAAGGTTATTTATTATTTCACCCTGTTAGAAATACGTAATAAATGTATTGTTGCTGTTATTATTATTACATTGATCATTCTACTTTAACATCGTTTTTATTATATTTATTATTTTACTCTATTATTACTGTTATTATTACATTTCCGTTATTTTACTCTATTATTAGTAGCAGTATTACTACATTTATTATTTTACTCTATTTTTATTGGAAGGATATGCAAGCACATTTACATTGAAGAAGGTTAGAATAATGGTTTAATCAGAGTTAGACAGTCTTATCTTAAATTATAGTTTTATTTAAATATTCAAAACATTTAACCTACTGATGCCTCAATTAATGTAATTGTATTGTATCTATTTTTATTTTGAAATTTACCAGTACCTGCTGCATTTCCTACCCTTGGCTTATACTCGAATCAATATGTTTTCCCAGTTTTTTGTGGTAAAATTTGGTGCCTCGGCTTATATTCGGGTCGGCTTATACTCAAGTATATACGGTACATTCAAATCTTTAAAAACATATAAAACCACTATCTTCACTATTAGCCTCATCGTCCAAAACCATATGCATTTATATGCATTTATGCCCTGCTTCTCTCTCAAAAGAGACTCAAAGGACTAACATTAAAAACCATACAATGTGTAAATTAAAAACTAAAGCAGAAATGTCCCTTTCAGAAGGTGCACATGAGTTACTATTTTTCTGTTTTGCGGAAACCAAAAGGAATGGGATCAACAGTTTAATACCAAATTTAAACAACAATTAATAGGCTTGTCTGATAAGGAGTTATATTCGATACTGAGGCTGCCCAAGATATCAGTTCCAGGAGGCAGTTTTGCACTAAGAATAATACAAAAGGAAACACAGATATTTGAGGCAAGTCACTCTCTCGGCCTCAAAGGAGAGCAAATCTGAACAAATCTTGGCAAGAAAATTCTGCAATAAGTTTTGCAGGACTTGAAGAGTCACTACAAGTCACAAAGAACTGGAAGGCGCACGACAAGGACGTAACACAGATCCTTACAGTTGGAAGGGACCCGTAAAGGCCATCCACTCCAACCCTTTTCTTTGTGCCATAAAGGAAGGAACCAACCAAATCTTCCCAGCAGATGACCCTCTGGCCTCCCTTTAAAGGCTTCCATTGATGGAGTATCCATCATTATCTAGTCCATTTTGACTTTTTCCATCTTAGAAGTGTATAGAACTATAGAATCTGAGGGTGGGATCAAATCTCTCCTGACAGGTGGCCATCCAGACGCAGATGAGGCAAAAGGGAAAGAGAGAAGTGGTTTCATTCATATTGACATTTAAGCTGTATAGTTTATAAAATCCGCAAATATGATTTTCTTTGGTGGGCATTTTATAGGTGTAGGGTGGGGATGGGGGGATAAAAGCTTTCTGGCCTATAAACAAGGGACACTCCCCTGCTGTGAGCTTGAATGAGTCACATTCTCTCAGCCTCTCTTTTCCATGTCAGGAGCGACTTGAGAACTGCAAGTTGCTTCTGGTGTGAGAGAATTGGCCATCTGCAAGGATGTTGCCCAGGGGATGCCTGGATGTTTTGATGTTTTACCATTCTTATGGGAGGCTTCTCTCATGTCCCTGCATGGGGAGCCGGAGCTGACAGAGGGAGCTCATCCGCACTCTCCCCAGATTCAAACCTGCGACTTGTCGGTCTTCAGTCCTGCCAGCACAAGGGTTTAACCCATTGCGCCACCGGAGAATCCTTCTCAGCCTCTGATAAATGAAGTATTATTATGATTATTAGTGACAGACCCTCATCCCAAAAATAAGTGAACTTTTTGAAGGGAATCATCTTTTTCCTGTTCATTTTATTTTTTTAATTATTCAATCAATAATTCAATAATTATTAAATAATTCAATCTAATAATATTCAATCAGTTATTCAATAATTCAATCTAATCCTAACCTTCAATCTATTATTATTATGCAATCAAGTGACACTCTCTCAGCCTCAGCCTGTTGTTTTTATTGTTCAATTATTCAATTATTCACTAATTCAATCTAATCATAACCTTCAATTATTATCATCATTATTATTATTATGCAATCAAGGCACACTCTCTCAGCCTCAGCCTGTTGTTTTATTGCTCAATCAATTATTCACTAATTCAATCTAATCATAACCTTCAATCTATTATTATTATGCAGTCAAGTCACACACTCTCAGCCTCAGCCTGTTGTTTTCATAGTTCAATCAATTATTCAATCAGTTATTCAATTATTCAATCTGGGGAGGCCCTGCTCTCGGTCCCGCCGGCCTCACAAGCACGCGTGTCGGACACGAGAGACAGGGTCTTCTCAGTAGTGCCCCCTCGGCTGTGGAACGCCCTTCCTACAGACATCAGATCGGCCCCCTCCTATCTGGCATTCTGGAAGATAGTGAAGACCTGGCTCTTCGAACAGGCTTTCAACTAAGCAGTGCAATTGATTGATTATTGGAATATGGATTAATGGACAATGAGAGTGGATGCTGATTCTATTGATGAGACGTGATGGATTGTTATTTTGTTGTATTGTTGGATTGATGTTTTGATGTGAATTAATTGATATTGCTCTTTTAATTGATTAATGATCTGTTTTGAACTGTTGAATTGGTTGTTAACCGCTCTGAGTCGCCTGAGGGCTGAGAAGAGCGGTATACAAGTGAAGCAAATAAATAAATATATAATAACTTTCAATCTATTATTATGCAATCAAGTCACACTCTCTCAGCCTTGGCCTGTTGTTTTCTTAGTTCAATCAATTATTCAATCATATATTCAATAATTCAATCTAATCATAACCTTCAATCTATTATTATTATTATTATTATTATTATTATTATGCAATCAAGTCACACTCTCTCTGCCTCAGTCTGTTGTTTTATTGTTCAATCAATTATTCACTAATTCAATCTAATCATAACCTTCAATCTATTATTATTATGCAGTCAAGTCACACTCTCTCAGCCTCGGCCTGTTGTTTTCATAGTTCAATCAATTATTCAATCGGTTATTCAATAATTCAATCTAATCATAATCTTCAATCTATTATTATGCAATCAAGTCACACTCTCTCAGCCTCATCTTGTTTTAATTCAGTTATTCAATCAATTATTCAATCTAATCATAACTTTCAATCTATTATTATGCATTCAAGTCACACACTCTCAGCCTCAGCATGTGGTTTTTATTGTTCAATCAATAATTCAATACCTCAATCTAATCATAACCTTCAATCTATGATGCTGATGATGATGTGACCAAGCCACACTCTCTCAGCCTCAGAGGAATGGTGGCGGTGGTTCTCACGGGGAGGCCCCAACCCCCAATGAAGGGGAAAAGGAAGGGTCACACTCTCTCAGCCTCCACGGGGAAGCCATGACAACCAACCCCCCCTTATTAGGGTCCTCATTAGCATATGCAGATGAGCCGGACCTTGAGGCGGTGGAGCTGGTCGTGGAGCGCCGCCTTGACCCGCAGCAGCGTCTCCTCCTCCTTGCGCAGCTCCTGCAGGCGGCTCAGCATCCTGCTCCTTTCCGGCGCGGGCCGATGACGACAACGCTAAGGCTGCGGCTTCCAATATGACGTAGCCTTAAGAGGGCAAGGCGAGGGAAGCGGCGCCATCTTCCTCAAGGGCGGAAGCGAGAGGGGACCGCTTTCCTATTGGACACCCCCTGGTGTGGGAGGAGCTACCATTCCTAAAAGGGGGAAAGACTGGAAACAGTTGATTGGAGAATGGGCTATTCCATTTCAAATGTAGGGGGAGGCGGGGGGGATTTCTTAAACACTGCCCCATATTTGTCTGAAAGGTTGGCGGTTCGAATCCAGAGAGCGGGATGAGCTCCTGTTGTTAGCCCCAGCTTCTGCCAACCTAGCAGTTCAAAAACATGCAAAGGTAAGTAGATCAATATTTATGTATTTATTTATTTATGCTATTTCTATCCTGCCCATATCAGCCCAAAGGCAACTCAGGCCGGCGTACAGAGTCGGCACAATTCGATGCCATATATAAAATACATAGGTAAAGGTAGTCCCCTGACATTAAGTCCAGTCATGTCTGACTCTGGGGTGTGGTGCTCATCTCCATTTCTAAGCCTAAGAGCCCGCGTTGTCCGTAGACACCTCCAAGGTCATGTGGCCGGCATGACTGCGTGGAGTGCTGTTACCTTTCCGCCGGAGCGGTACCTATTGATCTACTCACATTTGCATGTTTTCGAACTGCTAGGTTGGCAGAAGCTAGGGCTGACAGCGGAAACTCACGCCGCTCCCCAGAATCGAACCTGCGACCTTTCGATCAACAAGCTCAGCAGCTCAGTGCTTTAACCCACTGCGCCACCGGGGGCTAAAATACATACATTGATAAAAAGCAAAAAAAGCAACATTACAGTACATTTAAAATCATAAAACAATGAACAATAAAAAAAATTAAAAAACTATATCCTCTCATTCAAATCCTCATCCGTTCCATCGTCTTGGCCGTTCCTGGGTCATTTTCCGATTCAAGTTTGTCTGTTTATGCTGAGGTTCTGAAATCTTGCTTGAAGAGCCAAGTTTTCACTCTTTTTCGAAAGGTCAAGAGGGAGGGGTCTGATCTAAATATCCCTAGGCAGGGAGTTCCACAGCCGAGGGGCCGCCACAGAGAAGGCCCCATTTCTCGTCCCCGCCAAACGTGCTTGCTAAGCAGGCAGGATCGAGAGCAGGGCCTCCTCCGATGATCTCAAGTTCCTGGTGGGTTCGTAGAAAGAGATGTGGATAGATTAGCTCCAGTGGGAAGGTAACTGCGTTCCATGCAGTCATGCCTGTGGACAGTGCCAGCTTAGAAATGAAGGTGAACACCACCCACCAGAGTTGTACAGGACTAGACTTAATGTCAAGGTGAAACCTTTACTTTACGCCAGGAAATAGCAACCAATAGTGAAAGGCCATCTCCAGCCCATCCCATTTGGAAATCAGCCAGCAAGTCAACGACTTTGTTTCAAGAAATAGTTTTCTAAGATCTACATAGACACTCACCAGAACACCTCAGCAAGCAAGAGTCCAAAAGTGGCAGAACCTCAATGAATCGCCAATACCAGATGAGAGGCTCCTTCTTGGGCTCACCGAAGACGGAGCGACTTGGAAGGTGCTAAACAGACTGCACTCTGGCACCACTAGATGCAGAGCCAACCTTAAGAAATGGGGCCACAAAGTGGAATCCATAACATGCGAGTGTGGAGAAGAGCAAACCACAAACCACCTACTACAATGCAGCCTGAGCCCTACCACATGCACAATGGAGGACTGGCTTACTACTTCTTACTTAGGCGATCCCTTGTTTTCCGAGGATTGTCTTCCAGTGTTCTTGTGGGTCTGTATGTGGCTGTGGAGCCCTATTCTTGCTCTGCATCTTCTTCCACAGCGAGGGCATTGGTTTCCAGGTGGAAGGCGGTCTCGGTTGGGGTTGGCTTGACGCGCCTTCTTCTTGGCACGCTTCTCCCTTTCGCCCTCCATTCGTGCCTCTTCAAATTCTGCAGCACTGCTGGTCACAGCTGACCTCCAGCTGGAGCAGTCAAGGGCCACGGCTTCCCAGTTCTGTGTCTATGCCGGAGTTTTTAAGGCTGGTTTTGAGCTTGTATGACTTGCTTATAGCAACACCAGAGGCACTCCAAGTGCCAGCTACTGGTCAAAGGACTTTTAATAAAATGGCAAGTTTGCAAACCTTGTGCTTTTTTAAAAATGCAACTGTTTAGTTCTTTCCTGTCACGATAAATAAAACCTATGCTGAACAGTTGCTTTGTGTAGAGGATAGTTCAGGCTAGGATCTGTCCAACTTCTGTTGTATGTTCATTCATAACCTTTTTATGATCCATGAGGCAAAACTTGTAGATCCACTGTTGTATATTTTTAGGTTTTAATACAAAGCGGTTTAATTGTAAATGGCTTTGACTGTTTTTTAGAGATAAAATAATAATAGATAAAAGCAACTGTGATCTCCAATAATAATAATCTTAAATGTGATGTCATTGCTATTTTAGTTCTGGTCGCATTTTTAATATGGTTTTATGCATACTGCATCTCATTTTGACAGATAAGACATCATGGCTCTCAATTTATGGGAGGAAAAATACAAGATGATAATAAGTTTCTAGATTTGTTGCAATCTGCTGTTAACTGATTTGCAACCCTATTAATAGAAAAAGTCGTAGTTAGGGCTTACCATTGTTTTAAGCAAGGATTTCTATACCCAGCGCTTCCAATTGAGCCTTAAAACAAGTGAAAAGGAAAGCAGAGAATACACCTTGCTTTTTATTTAGCAGTATACATAAAACCCAATTTTAAGAACCTTTTTGGTCTTTACCTCTGCTGGATTTCTGAATGCCTTTTGGTGCTTATATAATAATGAACAAAAGAAAAAAATATACAGCTTTGGGTAAATTGTTTTTTATTCACTGTCATACACAGTACAGCCCTTTTCAGCACTGAAGCAGGCCAAGCGCCAACTCTTTTTTATTGTCAGGTTTAAGCCGCACTTTCTTTTTTTGCAGCAGCGGCGGCAGCAGCAGCTTGAGCCTTTTCCTTCCCCTTCGCTGCTTTCTCTTCTTTGAGTTTGTGCTGCAAGGAAATAGACAAGAATGTTAGATATATGCAGTCATTCCAGCCACATGATCTTGGAGGTGTCTACGGACAACGCCGGCTCTTCGGCTTAGAAATGGAGATGAGCACCACACCCCAGACCCGACTGGACTTCGTGTCAGGGGAAAACCTTTATCTCTCTCTCTCTCTATATATATATATATAATTGTACTCTGGTTTAGACTGTCATAAATATTAAAAATTAACTATAGGTATTTTTAATTACAAATGCGAGTCAAGCACTGAAAGGGTTAAATGGATACCATGACTCTGCAAAAGCTGCAGTTCTATATAACGTGTGCCTGTAGCCCTGAGTCTGTGAGAGGTCTAAGTGAGAGAAGGCCTCAAGTGTGAGGTACGCCTTAGTGTGTGAGAAGCTCCAGTGAAAGAAGCCTGAGGTTAAAGGCCTGGTGCGTAAAGCTACTGTGTGAAGGTCCTGTGTAAGTTTCGTGGGAGAAGAAGCTCTGTGAGAGCGAAGCTGTTCATCTGCATGAGAAGCCCAGTATGGAAGCAAAGAAGGAAATATAATGAACTTTATTTGTGTTGTGGAAACCTTGTTTTTGTAAATACTGCAACTATATTTATTATTTTGCTGTAAAGAAAGCCTCCTATGGAAGAGATAACATTGGTCTGTGTGTTTCTGTTCTTTTTATCACTTTGGGCTACTGGTGCTGGGTCACACTGGTGCTAGTAAGTTACTCTGCTGTACATTTACGTATAAGGAGGGTCTTTTGTTAATAAGCACACTCACGTTTTTAGCATGACGCAGAATGGTGTTGCGCCGCATAGTCTTGGCGTATGGGTTCAGCTTAATCATAATTCTCAGATTCTTCAGTGGGTTTTTCTTAAGAACTCTGCGGTGAATCTTTTTCCTGAAGAGAGATTGGAAAGAACAGGAGTGATTTACAGGAAGGGAGAACAAAGCAGGTATGAAGACAATAAGCCTGGAAATAGGAAAGGTCCTAGGATGGTGCTAGCACCAGATTACACTATGTAACATGATTTTTGTTAATTGGATCTATCATAAGAACATGGAGAAAGTTTATTGAACTGACAAAACTTTGTCTTTGTGGAAGGGACATCATGCAATAGCACATTCCCCTCTCGTTTTTCAATGACTCTCAACCAAATTCAAGCCACAAAAACAAAGTTTCTGGAGTAGAACAGTTACATTAAAAGCAAGGACCACACAATAAAACAGGAAATAAAAACTTTCAAACCAGGATTGGAACATTTTTCCAAGTTTGTTACATAGTGTTATGAGAAATAAGGAGCATGCAAAGAGAAACCCAAAAGAACTAGAGATCTCTGCAATAGTCAGCCGCAGGGCCGTGTGATCACACTGAGAGCCTGGACTCCATTGTTTGATATTTTAAAGCAGCTTTTCTCCACCAGTGGTTTACGAGGGGGTGCCAGAGGGGTCGCCAAAGACCATCAGAAAACACAGTATTTTCTGTTAGTGAGGGGAGTTCTGTGTGGGAAGTTTGGATCCAATATATCATTGATGAGGTTCAGAATGTTCCTTGAGTGGTGATCATCAATCCCAGCAACTGCAACACCCAAATGTCACGGTCTATTTTCCTCAAACTCCACCAGTATTCACAATTGGGCATATTGAGTATTTGTGCCAAGTTTGGTCCAGATCCAACATTGTTTGAGCCCACAGTGTTCTTTCAATGTAGGTGAACTACAACTCCAAAACTCAAGATCAATGCCCACCAAACCCTTCCAGTATTTTCTTTTGGTCGTGGGAGTTCTGTGTGCCAAATTTGGTTCAGTTCCATCACTGGTGGAGTTCAGAATGCTCTTTGAATGTAGGTGAACTATACATCCCAGCAACTACAACTCCCAAATGACAAAACCAATCCCCACAATGCCACCAGTATTCAAATTTGGGCGTATCAGGTATTTGTGCCAAATTTGGTCCAGTGACTAAAAATACATCCTG